TGCTGGACACATTCTTCAATGGAAGTACCCGTTACACAACCGAAAACGCGCTTTCTAACTGCCTCATTACGGATTCGCCGACACCAGCCCACACGAGCTATGGTTCTGTGACAACGATTGTCGAACAACTGAACACGTCTCAGTTCCGCTGCTCGAATAGGCCAAATCTCACATCCATACAACAAGACAGCCCGTACTGTAGCTTGATACACACGTCCCTTCAGATTCAGGGATAAACCATTTTGACGCCATAGGTGTCCCAAATTAGCAAACGCGGCCCGAGCCTTGCAGATTCGTGCATTCACCTCATCTGTGACACTACAATCACAACTAATACAACTGTCAGGCACTGATGAAAGACTTAATTCGGTAGGGTTGAATAATCACCAGTCAGTGGAATTACACGATCACTGTTAAGGTAACGATCTCAGGTGACTCAAAGTAAACGGTGTAGTCCTGTGTAATTTGCTGATAAATCCCCTTCTACGAGCGCCTGTAAATATTCCGGTTCATCTGACCATGGAGAAGCGTTCCGCTTCGTAGGTCCTACAGCCATTCCATAAAAAACTAATGGTTTTTAGTGAAGTTTTCGACTTATTTCTCAACTAAAAGGTTACACAGTCATTCGCCAGCTTTCTCACTGAATCGGTTTGACCACTGCGCTATCCATTACGTGTTGTCGTTTTCACGGAAAACTGAGTCTAGTTGGGTCCGGACCAGGGATCACACTCCTCTTGCAAAGTCTATGAAATAAACATCGGTTTTTCATCCTGCGCCACACAGAGCTCGGAAGTGCGGACATTCGAACTGAAAATGCAGTACCCCACTGTCAAACTGGAATTTTGTTCAGTAGAGTATCCTCTAGAACGGAAGTATAGAAATGGTATTCGATCAGCTGCTCTTTCAAAATCTTCAAAAAAACGATTTGGTTTGTCCGCGGCACTGACAAGCATTACAGTCGATGAGGGCTTCAGTAACTCCGCTTTTTGTAAGATCTGATAAGTGATCGGTACAATTTTAGTCACATATTTCATCCGTCAGAATCTTCAAATACCTAGTAGCTCAACAGATATTGGCAGTAATACGTGACCGATGGGTAACAGGCATTGAGAGCCAATAAGAAGTTCCGGGTGAAAAGTACATAACAAGTAGCAGTATCGGTGGAAATTGTATCAGGATAGGGAAACGCCCATTTACACATCGTTTCAACTACTGAGCAGATGGTTATATAATTTCTTTGAGTTTGTACCTGCTGAATCTTCCTTGTTTATATAGCTTTTTATATGGGGTGTTTTTTGGCCAGGAAAATCCTATAAAGCAATGTTGTCGTGTGAAAAATTTCATCTTTGCTTCATTATTCGCCTCTTGACTCAGAATTTTGAAGCATATTCGTCGTCATATATTCGATGTGAGGAAAAAACTTTTATTAACGCTAACCACTACGTTTATTGGTGCATAAATTCAAGCATTGCTTCTTTTCAATCTTTGTCAATCCTAGGTCGTTGTAACATTTTTCGCATCTCTTGCTTGATTGATATAACCCGTTCCTGGCTTACGTCACGGCCCTACTTTTTGGGCCTGTTGGTGAATAAGACGGACCAGGTTCGTGTACCTTGATCGATGGATTAACTGATTGACCTGATCAAACGAGATATTGATCGGTTGGTTGGTTGGTCACCTGAGTTGATGACTGACTGACCGACCGATTAGCTAATAGGCTACTCGTTTGTCTGACTGCTTTTTCGGATTCAAGACAAAAAGAGTTCATATAGAGGTACTTCGCGGTATCCTAATGTTGTACACCTTTCCTGAGTACAAAATAACTCTGCCATCTTCGTGTTCGTTTTTGAGACCATCAATTCAAATAATACTGAGCGTTACGAACTACTGTCATTTCTCGTAAATTCACCTTTGGAATATGAATAAATCCATCTTGATCAACAGAGTAAAAATTGTTTCAAATTTCGCCAAGCTGCGGTAGGAATCTGGTGCGTGTAACTTCAAAAAAAAACAGAGAAATTAAATACAGACAGTTTGATCAGACCAGAGCCGTTCTACAGAACGTACCGCCAACACACTGGTCTCTGAAGCGGTGGACCATAGGTATGTGCTCAACCTAGGAAGGTAAGGCGGGCTAACTGGGGATGGGAGAGAAGAATCTTAAGAAGTGCATTCAGATTTAATTGTGCACGACTTTCTTGTGTTGAAAGCATCTGGTCAATCTTCAAAACACGATCTATTCATAATTTTGCTCTGTATTTTTTATTACTATTAATAGTAGTGTTCAAAATGAAAATCTTATCCTCCTACCCATAATTATATGCGAGTGTCGCTTTCCACCGGATATTTATGTCACAATGAACAATAAACAACCACAGAAATGTTGCTTAAATGGTTGCCGAACACAAGTTGCCTGGTGGAGGCCATAAAAAACACCAATGACTTAACATGCACGCCGAATCGATGCAACCATACTTTACCAGTTCAGTTCAGTTCAGTTCATCCTACAAACCGTGCACAGAAATGCAATCGTTCCAGCTGCCACAGCTTCGTTTGCCGAAGATAAGGATAATACAAGGGCATGAGTGCCACCCGTTGGAAGCACTCGTCTAACTTGAGCACCGACAATAAATAGGCAGTTAAGGCGATAGCTTTAACGGAAGAACGCCATCGGTCACGTGAAAATGCCTCGCCCATCAAGGTCACTAACCCGTGATTTTTTACGCCCCACGGTTCCCATCCGGGGAGAGGGTAGTTACCAGGGCGACTGAGTTGACTCCACCAAAAATATGCGTATTGATGCATCCATGACGGTGATTTGCATACTATTGCGAGGGGGGAATTATGTCGGGTCGGTCACCTCATTTGTCCAGTTTACTGACAGCCAACTCTATCACCAAGAGGCCATACAACCTGAGGATTATGTCGGTCGGTCACCTCATTTGTCCAGTTTACTGACAGCCAACTCTATCACCAAGAGGCCATACAACCTGAGGTTCTAAATTACAAGCTCCAAAGCACTGTTAGGCATGCTCACCATACACTTCAATCGATCATCTCAGCCCGAGTTGATCTGCACTTTCTGGTTGAACCGCCTAATTGCAGTCCATTAGTTAAGGTCATATCAATGCCAGCCGATACGGTGTAAATTTAATTGCGACAGGCTGAATTATCGGGTTTGAAAGTCATTTCAATCGATCCTCCGTTCAGCTATCCGATTGGATGCCGAACTTAGTCAATAACACTGGCCAGAAATCTGAAATAATGAGTGGATCAGTGGCTAGACATACCTCATTGAGCGAGTACTCATAAAACACGACTAGGCCAGACTTTATCGATTTATTTCAGTAGTGGGGCTAAGTAGGCAGCTTGTGGGATTATTCGAAGGATAAATGAATAGTATTCACGGTCAGCTAAGCTAACAACTACACTTTTGTCATTGACCGTGTAGGTGAATGAGCTGTTGCCTAGTGATCCATGGCGAAAAAAAGAAAGTTATGCAGGAGGACGGGGAGCGAAAGACAACCTGGGTTCAAGTCCCCGGAGAAACTTGCAATCCCGTTCAATATACATACTGATAGTGCGCACTTTTTTGTTCCAAAGTTTTTGGGATGCGGGGCTTCTAAATTGATCGTCGGAGGGTGTGGGCAACTAAACGGATTGCTCTGGAGAAGCTTGTCTAGTAGGTGGATCCACGGGCTGAGGACGTTACACGTATTTTTTCATCCCATAGAGTAGGCTTAATCCGTATATTTGATTCCGGTATGCAGCTTGGTATGGTACACCTGCGCAGACATTCGAAAACGCATCACCTCTGAACATGGAGATCGAATAGACCCAACCGAATACTGCTTGGGTCCACTCCCAAAGGTCGCACTGGATGACCTGTCTATACGAATTACGAGTGTAATGGTGACACTACTGATGGGGAGGCATGCGAGTAGTATGTTTTGTTCTTGGAGTTTCGCTTTGCGTCTCTTGAAAAGGGGAGATCTGTTTCGGAATTTGTGGAGTCGCCTTGTAGCACTTGCTTGGATTTGAGCAATGAATGATTGGAGTCAATGAATATCCAGGAGAGTTGAAGAAGACGCGTTCAGGGGAACGTGGGTGTTCAGTTTTTGTAAATAAGATGCAAATGCTTCCCTGTCCAATAGTCTGTAACCGGTCAGTTGGCATTTTCTAATTAACAACTCCGCAGCGAAGGCCTAGTTCCTTTCACGAATAAAGAAATTCTAAACGTCCAAGATTATACATTGATCTTCATCAACCTTTTGCAGGGTTCCAGTTCACATATCGATGGAAAAGTGACTGAGAGAGGAGACAAACGTTAAGCGAACCAACGGACCGTTGGTCATAGGGGTAAGAGGAATGCGTTCCCCACAATGCATATTCAACTGAATTCACAAAGTTCCTCCAAGTGTTGGCTTGTTCGCTGAGCTGGGCAATTTGATTGCAAACGTTTCATCACCAATCGAGGTGACATCATCAGTGCGTTAATGGGGAGCGTAATTATGCGTAGCGGTGGGTTAGTGGCACAACTACCGTGCAGCGCCATTGGTAGTGCACAGTGAGCGAGCTCCTCACGATAGAGAGTTGTTTTCAAGGTGGGAACGGGCACCCTACAGACAGTAAGTGATGTTGACGGCAAATTATTCCTAACACCGTGAACGATGGTTTAATTGGGTCCACTCAACTAGAACATCAAATTCAACATTCAAGGGGGTGAATGAAGACTGAATGACCGACTTCCACATAGGGCGGAGTATACTCGTCGAAAAATGATTTTGACAGCTTTCGTACCAATCATTTCAGATGCTGCTTAAAATGACTGAAGAAAATGACGGAGAGATCTACTGAGAAATCGAGATCAAGACCAACCGTTTATTCTTTCGCTGAATGTGATACTTGTGTCAATGTGAGTAGTAGGGGGTCTACATCGTCAACTGCTTTGAACTATGAATGGCAACCAAGGCATACATAGGAATTTCTAACATAAGACGGTGTCAACATATAAGAGACACTAGAAAATAAGGACTATATATGCTTAATATCCATTTATTGATATGTTGTAACCTGGTCCGGAGTCTAGCTTGATTAAGTAGATCTAGGGCTTCGTGCTCTCCCCTGGATGATAATGACGAATGCAAACGAATGAAAAGTTAAGGCGACAGTGTTAAACTTTCATCCCGTTTTCATATGTGAGGTCCACCTGGACTGAATTCACTAGCATCTCACAACCTCACGCCATGTTGCACGATATTTCTATGGGTTTGTGCAATGTTACTCGAAAGTAAAGATGAGTACGGAAGTATGTAACTCTGAATTAGAGATACTACGTTAAAATAGGCGACAGTAGAAAGTGAGAAGTACAAATACACCTCATTACCTCAATCAAACGCCGTTGTGCAAGTGTATCACCAACTAAACCACACTGTCTTTCTTTTCATCCTGTTTTGCGTATTCTGACTGTGTCGTACAAAACCAACAATTTTTCAGAACCTGGCTTGATTAAGTTCTATTGATTTCGTTGAGCAGGTCCGAATTTTTTGGATGAATTGCAAAAACTCGAGCAGTGTCCACTTCCCACAATGAATTGGTGCGTGATCGATCAATTTGAAATGGCCAAATGCGGACGCATGAAAAGTGCGTTTGCCGCACGCCGTATACAGCCCGATCTGAATTGTATTCAGGCAGATTCCGCTATCGATTGTATGCGACTTATTCAAGAAGGCTATGCGGACATGATCACCCTGGAAGCTGGAGATCTCTACGCAGCTGGAAAATACTTTGACCTGGTCCCAATCGTTGCAGAGTAAGTCACCGTGCATTTCTCATCACACAAAGATGTTTTCAAGACTAAGGGTTCTGGAGACCGGAGTTACTAGAATCGTAGAAATACATTCTATCAAGGCAATAGTCGTGTGTAAGTCAAGTTTCTTGATGGGTTCACGGTACACTAACCTGCTTGTCGCCTGGTTTGCCGCAAGAATTTTTTCCTACTAACGAACTTTGAACAGCCATAAAGTATATGACTGCATTAGACAACAGTTACAAAGTTTATTTGAAGAACAGTCAGTCTAATTAATGGCGGAAAGCTAAATATATCAAAACAAAGCGGTAGTCACGAGAGCGCACCTTGTTCGTTTGTTGGAATTAAGTAGAATTATCGGTCGCCACACCGCGGGTGGTCCATACATGGAGGGGTCCTGTGACGCCGCTGAATCACGTGACGCGTGGGAGGGAACTGCATTCCTGTGGCATCCTACTCCATTTTTAAGTATTGGCTTTCTTTTTTGAGGCTAGGGATTAATAAAGGAGTTCCCTGCTTTACATGTTTCGGGGCGAAGTTGGTGCCCTCATCGAGCGTCGGATATTTTAGAATTAGGAAGAATTCACGTTATGCTTATCATGTATTAGGCTAACAATAACCTTGGTGACAAACGCACTGTTCTCCCGAAGTATGACGTCGCGTGACCAGCCTCCACAAGGTTGAGATAGTTCAAGGCGGTTTAGTATAGATGATTTGAAGATACCAGGAAATTGGGCAAACGGTTATTCGCACGTGGCTCACACACAATCGTTTTTATAGGGTCTGATTTCGACATCTTGACACAGTCCCCGATCGACTATTGACTTTGAGTGTTTCCATGATGAACCGATGACTGGGACTGATGCACACCAATCGTTCTCGCTCATGGTCTGTTGGAAAGCCCTCTGTTTTAATCAGTCGTTGAATAGCTCCATCGTTAGGTCTTCTTAAGGGGCAATGTGTCATCTGGAGGCTTGCTCTCATCTCGCTTCTCCTAATTTGGTTCCTCTTGGGTTTTCGAGTAGTTATTGAGTCTCGGCCTGTTTTCTGACCATTCTGAATTAGTGGCCTGACAGTCATTGACTACGGCTTTTACTCTGAGGTTTCGTATTACCGCACTATTTCCCATAATGTGACCCCGGCTAGAAAGAGGTCACCGTACACCAAACTACCGAACATCTAAAGCATATCCTATGCTGTCAGAGTGTATGATCAGGATCCATATTTTTTGAAATCCATAGAAAGTCCTTCAATCTTTCAATTTTTAACGTCAAAATTTCCCCAATTTGTTTTTTTTTCTGGTTTTGGCTTTGAAGCACTTTCAACATGGTTAGATGATACATAGGAATGTACTGTTTTCTCCAACGAAGCTTTGCTGTCCAGTGGCTGTAACAGGGTGAGATTTCTTCTGACCGTTCCTCGGTATGCCCCGCTGGACAACATCCAAGATGAGAGGACATAGGAAAACATAACAAAAAATAAGTTCGCGCGAATGCAACCCGAAGTTCAGTGTGAATTTCAATATGACGAAAGTTGAGTGTCATACGCGTCAACTTTAAGTAAAATGATGTCAGGATGCACCTTGTGAGTGAGCTTAGATCGAAATAAAGAAGTGGGAGGCAGCAAGCATATCTGCTAGTAAGACCATAGCGACAAGACTTCACAAGTGTTTTGCTGTCACTTTCGGAAGGGTTTTGTAACTAATCGATTGTCAGCGTTCGGACAATTTATCCGGCCACATGCCATTAGCCCTGTGACATGCTGCTCGTCTCCCATTGATTAGATGGTTGACTGCCTTTGTTTCCTATTGGTCCTTGCATTGCCATCGTTTTCTTTGTCACGCTGTACAGCCTACTCGAAAAACAGCCCTGCTTGTTGTGACTCACCGCGCTAAACAAACTCTGTTCTTCCCATGGTTCGATTCTCAGAGCACGCAGTGCTAGGAGTCTGCAACTAGAGTATAGTTTGTTTTCACGTGCCATCAATCAGAAGTTTAATTTCGGAACGTTTCTGCTAATGAAAGTGACCGTCGAAAAACGACAATATACTACAGATTGTTTTCGTCGTATGCTAATGTGTGGGATGTGAAGGTAGAAAAATATTTGCGGGCAAGGTAAAGGTCATGAATCTTTTTTGAAATATCCGGTTAGATTCTGAGAATGTGGCGCAATCAGAAGGTCAACCATGACCTAATCTGTTTCGCTAGATAGCGTAAACTAATCCGAAACACCTTACAAGAATTCAGATAAAAAATCAGCCCAGGAGTGAACGCAACCCACCTCGTTTTACCCATCTGCAAGGTGATTACACGTCTTCGCTAAAGGAGAAATCGGTGGATTGCACATCCATACGTTGGTAGACAGCTCAAAACGAAAGAGTGAATCGTGCCCCGAGCAAATAAGTCCCAAATTGAATAAATCACATGCACTCTTATGTAACTCTGTATTTTCCTGGGGTATCACGAGTGTAATCATTAAATAGAGTACTGTCTCCATGCATAACAACGGTACGTCGGCTACAAAACGGTTCCCTCATTTACAGCATTCTAGTTTTGCTTTGGTTTAGCCCTTCGAGCAAATAACGTTCTAGGGTTCAAACCGGTTTACGTGCTTCCTTCAGAGTGTCTCCTTCAGAGCATGAGTTCTGACTGTAGAAGAATACATTCCGTAAAGGAAACTACTCACAAGGTTGCTGGAAACTCTTCGACAGCCCACGACCGGTTTCACCCTTCTTAGGTCTCATCAGGTAGGCGCCGTCCCTGAGTTTCCGTCAACCTCATGAATATCATACGCATTTCTCGAAGAATACATTCCGTTTTAATTTCACATAAAGGGGGATAAAAATGAATAGCTTGAGTCTGAACTCGACTCATGTGAGAGAGAACTTGGCCTCTCACCGAAAGTTAGTTCAACAGAAAGGTCCGAAGGCATCTCTGCTAAGTAAGTGAGTATTGGTCAACCAAATAAGGGAATAAGTCCAGTGCAGTAGTCAGTACCGCAACAAAAAGGTAGGGCTTTGCATACCTCCAGGGGTGTGAATAAACCCGACAGTAGAAGAACCGGCGAGACTAGCGCCACCCAGCATTCATGTGGGCACTTTGTCCACAGGTCCCAACGATTACAAACAAACAGGTTTTATTAGTTTGCACTTCACTTTGTAGAAACTCTGGAGTTCACTTTACAGAACTGCCAAAATAATGAAACGTTTCGAAGGAATGTGGTTTATTAATTAGCCTTGGACACAAAAATACCGGAATTCCAGTGGCTTTTACGTACCAATCAAGCTGTCACGAAAATGGGCCACAGTGTTTTGCGAGAACCTTCCCAGAAAACAACTGTGCACGCCTGTCATTCTTAAGCCTGTTCAGAATTTGCGAGACCGCTGACTTTTACAAACGGCATGCTGGACTGCCTCTTATAGGTCCAGGTCTCAGGAGGTGCAACCGGTGTCATTCCTTCTGCTAAGCATTTATATA